ATTTGAGATTATTCAAATAGCCACCATTTGCCTTGATGACAGCTTTGCACACTCTTGGCATTCTCTCAACCAGCTTCACCTGGAATGCTTTTCCAACAGTCTTGAGGGAGTTCCCACATATGCTGAGCACTTTTTGGCTGCTTTTCCTTCACTCTGCGGTCCAACTCATCCCAAACCATCTCAATTGGGTTGAGGTCGGGGGATTGTGGAGGCCAGGTCATCTGATGCAGCACTCCATCACTCTCCTTCTTGGTAAAATAGCCCTTACACAGCCTGGAGGTGTTTTGGGTCATTGTCCTGTTGAAAAACAAATGATAGTCCCACGAAGCCCAAACCAGATGGGATGGTGTATCGCTGAAGAATGCTGTGGTAGCCATGCTGGTTAAGTGTACCTTGAATTCTAACTAGATTACAGACAGTGTCACCAGCAAAGCACCCCCACACCATAACACCTCCTCCTCCATGCTTTACGGTGGGAAATACACATGCGGAGATCATCCGTTCACCCACACCGCATCTCACAAAGACACGGCGGTTGGAACCAAAAATCTCAAATTTGGACTCCAGACCAAAGGACACATTTCCACCGGTCTAATGTCCATTGCTCGTGTTTCTTGGCCCAAGCAAGTCTCTTCTTCTTATTGGTTTCCTTTAGTAATGGTTTCTTTGCAGCAATTCGACCATGAAGGCCTGATTCACACAGTCTCCTCTGAACAGTTGATGTTGAGATGTGTCTGTTACTTGAACTCTGTGAAGCATTTATTTGGCCTGCAATTTCTGAGGCTGGTAACTCTACTGAAGTTATCCTCTGCAGCAGAGGTAACTCTGGGTCTTCCATTCCTGTGGCGGTCCTCATGAGATCCAGTTTCATCATAGCGCTTGATGGTTTTTGCGACTGCACTTTAAGAAACTTTCAATGTTCTTGACATTTTCCGGATTGACTGACCTTCATGTCTTGAAGTAATGATGGACTGTCATTTCTCTTTGCTTATTTGAGCTGTTCTTGCCATAATATGGTATTTTACCAAATAGGGCTATCTTCTGTATACCCCTCCTACCTTGCCACAACACAACTGATTGGCTCAAACATATTAAGAATGAAAGAAATTCCACAAATTAACTTTTAAGAAGGCACACCTGTTAATTGAAATGCATTCCAGGTGACTACCTCATGAAGCTGGTTGAGAGAATGCCAAGAGTGTGCAAAGCTGTCATCAAGGCAAAGGGGGGCCATTTGAAGAATCTCAAATATATTTTGATTTGTTTAACACTTTTTTGGTTACTACATGATTCCATATGTGTTATTTCATAGTTTTGATGTCTTCACCATTAGTCTACAATATAGAAAATAGTAAAAAATAAAGGAAAACCATTGAATGAGTAAGTGTGTGCGTCTCAATCCACGGGATCCGCAGAGGTCCTCAACAGCGTTTTGAGAAAAACCTACCTCTCTGAGTTTGGGTTCAAGAGCGATGTGGTGCCCATGCAAAGAAGAGAATACCTAGGCATCAAGCTAGATTCTCTCTCTTATCGGGCTACACCATCGGGACGACCGCATCATGTCGTTCAGACGGTACCTCTCCCTGACCAACAGCGGGCACTCAGTCATGCTCAGTACGTGTTTCTGAGTGCTGGGGTTGATGGCGTTTACCATCTCAGTTGTACCGTGAGGATCAATGAGAATGAGAGACTTCCGGCATTGCGTTTAAACCCATCACCTATATCCACTATGGCACTTCAACCGAAAGATAAGTGTCCACAGACTGTCACTTTAAAAATAAAAAAATAAAAATAAGAGATCATGGCTTTCATCTTCATTCACCTGGTCAGTGTATGGCATGGAAAGAGCAGTTCTTAATGTCTTGTAGACTCAGTGTATACCTTTAACCCTAGACTCAGGGAATGATACACCCATTTCATTCCCTTGTTTATTTGAGATAACTGGACTCATTCCTCACTCATCCCTTATCATCTCTACTATATCTTGACATATGTCATTATGTTGATGTCTTTCCTATGAAGGGTTAAAGTTCTTCATTTTCATTATGTGAAATGGTAAAAAAAAGAAATATATATATATATATATATATATATATATATATATATATATATATATATATATATATATATATATATATATATATATATATATATATATATATATAACCTACCAGTGGCACAGGGTTTGCACTTTCGTAGACATTTCTTGTCAGATCGTAAATCACCTGAGGCTTGAAAGCTGCAGTTCACAAGCACGCGCAGGGCAGACTACACAGATACAGACCAATATTGTCACTGGAGGGGTACCCGTAGTTACTCAAGGAAGTAAACAAACTCAGCATGACCAGTGAAAGTTTCTTATGAATTTAAGACCTTTATTATGCCATGTGATCACATGCAACGCTCCAGTTAGCAGAACAACGCATCATTGCAGTTCATATGAGCATATGAGTACACGCGAAATAGATCACACAGATAAAGATTGCCCGCTAGCTTGTTTGCTAACATAAGCACACTTCGGAAGCAGTAGGAAGGGCATGAACATTTATCATGATCGTGTTATGCAGTGATGCTGACTAGTGAGTCATTGATCATGTTATGAAGCATCCGTAACGGTCACATCTGTTACACTTAGAACACGTACTGACAAAGTGAGAACGGAAATCAATTATACATCACCTAAGGCCTCCATAAAAGTTAGCTTTGCACAGAAAGTTTGCATACAATCTTACTCGAAACGCGTCCACAATAACAACCTTTCCTCAAAAACGTGAAAAGGCAGAGCATTAGGGGGAATAAAAATTCACCTCAATGAACCTATGCACCCCCTCTCTCCCTCCCACTCTGTAGAGTTTATTGCCTCCTCATCTTTCTTCCAACTCCTTGCCTGCCCCTCCCTACCCTTGTTTTTCCCCATCACCGACTCCATTATGTCTTCCACAGGGCTCACATGACTACAAAAAACTTCTAGGGGTTACTAAAGGTCACAGGAAGAGGAGGTGCAGACCTCCTCCTGACAGACAGACAAACCAACCAAGCCAGAGCCGTAGACAGCTACATACAGACACAGATACAGCTTCACTACCGCTGGCCTGATTGCACAAAAAAGTTATGAGAGTTTATGCCTGGGTTCTATAGTGGAAAAACTACACGATTATTGTCACGGTTTCGGCCGAGGCTGCCTCTCTTCCTTGCTCGGGCAGGCTTCGGCGGTCGTCGTCTCCGGAGTACTAGCTGCCACCGTTGTATGTTTCGATGTTCGTTTGGTTTTGTTTTGATGTTGTACACCTGTTTTCGTTTAGCGCTCATTAGTGTCCTATAAGTTCTCGTTGTGTTTGTCAGGTGTTGTGTGTGATTGTCCTTGATGTCGTGTTTGTGCGCTACTGTTGGTCATCTGTACTTCATTGTTTTCCTCCTCTGTTTAGGAGGGTTCTCGCACATGTTAGTGCGCATTTTGGTTTACGCCTGTGTGCGTATTTTCTCGTCTCCGGGCTTTTTGGCTCGTGTATTGAGTGAGTATTCACTAAAGTCTTTTGGACTAAGCTTCTGCGTCCTGCGCCTGATTCCTGCACCACACCCACCTACAGCACCCACTGACAATTATGTTTAATACTGTTTTATGCAATAGAATAGGTTTCTTAGAAACTCTATCTTCTGTGTCTGTGTTAACTGAGAGGAGTCTCTGAAGCTGGGCCTGGCAATTGATTTAGGGAATACTAGGTGATAAAACCAACAGCCACATTCCATTTCATGATTAATGGTGTGTGAGAGGGAGATGTCTCTGGTCTGACTGAGCCTGCATTTTCATAGGCTGAATTGGTGTCTGTAAGGTACCAGGGACGAGATCTGTTATGAATAGTTGATAAGAACCTTGTCTTGGGGGCCAAACCCTGGTTTCAATGATAATAGTCTTCATAGCAGATACTGTCTGCTGTGAATTATTCATTTATTTCATACAAATCCTAACCTTTTGACTCATTCCACACATCTGCTGTTTGTCATGTAGACTGAGAGGGTGTATCGTGCTATAAAATATATTTGTATTGTCTGTATGTCAGAGCTCTCCACCCAACACTCAAGAGTGTTGGGTCGACCCGCCTCCCTTACTAACTTATTAATACATTTGAATAAAGTAATATCCTGATTGGTGGTTGACCTTGTCTCTCATCATTATTGATTAGAATTTCCACGACAGTTCCTTCTTCCATTCTAAGATATAGTGAAACATGACACATCGTAAGTAGTGTAGGCATATCTGTTGGACTTAAAAGGTTGCCCACTTCATTGATTCCTGGGAGTTGAACGAATGGCCTGATACAGCTACTGCTGTGCTGAGAGCAGTCACAATGGTTTACACAGTTGCCTCAACAGGGCATAGAAACTAAATGTGCCCATTTGCCCTGACAAAGAAAGGCTGGGATGTGCGGCAGGCCAGCAGTCACAATAGTCTCTGAGTGACAGTCATTAACCAATAGTAGTGATCTGCAGTAAATAAAACAATTATGTTTAACTCCAGGTAGCAATGTGTCACCTGCCTTTCTTATGACCGACTGGTCAAATTACAGTCGAGACTAAACTGTTTCTCTACCCGTATAAGCACTTCACTAAAGACACATAATAAGTGCAAGATATAAGTGCATAGCGGCAGGTAGCTTAGTGGTTAAGAGCGTAGTGCCAGGCACTTAACCCTAATTGCTCCTGTAAGTCGCTCTGGATAAGAGCGTCTGCTAAATGACTAAAATGTATAAATGTATATCTTGGCTTCATGGAACTCAGACCAAGGTTATTATAGTAAACTAAAACTGTAACTAAAACCAAAACAAACTATTTTGTAAACTGAAATAAAAGAATTAAGAAATCTGTTTGAAAAACTAAAACTATTATCTAAAAGAGAGAGAGAAAGAAAGAATGAGACAAAAACCGACCGACAGAAAGGTTGAAGGACAAGAACTCCACAGGGTTCAGAGAACAGAAGACCACAATAAAAAAAACATTCCCTCTCAGATTCCTGACGGATGTCTGACTAGTAGACATATCAAATAGTCTATTTTGGTCGAGTATAGGCCTGTCCCCAGACATTTTAACTTATTCAAATTCACAAAACAGGGATCATCAACTAGATTCAGCCATGGGACTAAATAATTTGTAGACTGCAAATTTAGCGCAAGAATCCTAAACAGATATAATATTTGACTAAAACATAATCATTTCAAACCTTGCTTCCATTTGTGTACGGTCATGATGTGTCGCTCTATTACGCGTGGGAATACTTGGGAACAGATTTCCAAAATGTCAATCTTGTAGCTAATTTACTGGTGTTTATACAGTCTTATGTGCAACAATGAAAATTTAAAAAACAATGAAAATGTTTTTGCTCAGAAAACTATGGGGCCAAATAAAACCACCCACAGGCCACCAGTTGGGGAACCCTGCTCTAGAATGACTGGTTCTTCCGGTTTCTATGAAAGAGATTAGGTATAGAGGGAGGCACATAGAACGAGTAGCAGGGGAAACGTTTTCGGTGGATGTCCTCTTCATAGCTCAACATGGCCAGGAAATGATACCAAATACAAGCCAATGAAATCAAACAACGGCTTGCTCTGTGGCCAAATTATTTTATCCACCTACTGTGGCATGACTGGGATGTGCTAAAGTCATCTCTTTATAAACTAACACACTGAAATGGAGCAGGCGAAGAGACTAGAATATAACCCTGGCACCATGCCCACAACTACTATTAGATTCACAGTCTGTCCCACTGCTTCATATTAGACCTACACACGTGCAGTTGTAGATAAGTCGTAGGCCAACATTAATTAAGTATGAAACATTTCTCTGCTTTCTGAAGACAAACAGTTAGACACTTTGTTCCAGTCAGTGAGTCATCCTGTGGTCCTCTGTAGCTCAATTGGTAGAGCATGGCACTTGTAACGCCAGGGTAGTGGGTTCGATCCCCGGGACCACCCATACGTAAATATGTATGCGCACATGACTGTAAGTCGCTTTGGATAAAAGCGTCTGCTAAATGGCATATTATTATTATTAGTATTATATTATTACCCTTAGAGAGTTGGTCCTGCAGTTCACCACACGTCTAGCAGGATTAGTTCATCCTCACTGATAGCTTGGGTTGAAACTAGCCAACCACTCAGCACAGTGGTCAGTCCCTCCCTCTGGTCACTGGTGAAAAACAGTTCCCCTGACCCTTTAAGACTGGACAACACTACATCGATAGACAATCAAAACAGTTTAGGAGTGGTTGGAAAACTATGTCATTCAAGGTCATGACCCCTTGTGAAAGGTGCTTTGACCCCAGCTCTGTGTGGAAGTTGCCCTAATGACAGATCTAGTGTAGATCGTAAAACTGACCTTAGATTAGCATCTTGGGGCAACTTTATCCTACCCCCCTGGTCCCACACAGGGAAGCTTCATTATGAGAAACTGTTGTTTAAAATGTTTGGACCTGACAGGGTCTCTGTTGGGAGGTCGGTCATTATAAACAGATTCTAAATGGCATTATAAAACACAGGCTGGTCATAATAGCAGCAAAGAGGAGAACGCACACATTCTCCTGAAGTTAGGTTCTCAACTAGCACTGTGCATCTGTGGCAACAACCACTTCCTAACCGCAGTAACAAATCAGTAATTATTGCGGAAGTGAATGGGAAATCGATTCTACAAGTCAGACACAGGTGAAAAGTAATTTGCTGAGGTGCAAGAATATATCAATAATATTGAAATGAGAGGTGAATTTCAGCACACTTAAACTTAACTAAAATGTAAACAAACAAATGATGTGGAAATCAATCCAGCCATGGCAGAAATTTAAAAAAACGAATTTCTCCTGTCCTCTTTCAACTTGGCCATTTATTATCGAAACAAAGAGAGTGGGGTTTGGGTGTGTTGAGGTTGTCGTGACAACAACCTTCAAAAGCATGGCCACCACCACTGAATGCACCCACGGTTTGAGTTGCATGCAGGCACCTGGACGTGTGAGCAAACACACATGCAGACACCCACCCCCACACTCACTTACCCAGCATTCACTTACCCAGCATTGTTGCTGACGGCTGTGAGGCTCTTTACACCAGTCTTTAATAAACTGTTGATAAGGTTCTCTGGGATGCCACACAAACCAAACCCTAGTGACAGAGAAAGAGAATAAATAAATAAATCGTTTACACTCATTTCTATTAATAACCCTCTTGATTTATTTTCCTAGGAAAGACAGTGGCTCTGTAGACTAAGTTTTCTTTAGACACAGTGGACACACAAGCCGAATTCTATTATTATGGAATCTGTCGTAGCAGCCCAGTGTGTGTGTGTGTGTTGGGGGTAATGAGACAGAATGATTCAGAGTGTAGCTGAAATGGAGAGCATGGCCCATTACTATGAAGTGGACACAGGGCAATGTGTGAGTCAGAATTTCCCCTGCTGAAAAAGATAAGCAGCTTGCCTTGAACAGAGAAAATATGATAATGACATATACAGTTGGTTCATATAACACATTTGCCCATATCCAAGTTGCTCTATATCCTACCTGTAAGAGATAGGCATCAACAATATGATAATAGCTCCACCTTGTCCTCTGATAGGCTAGGTGGAACGGTTTCTGCTTACACTCCTATCCAATTCTTTCAAATCTATGAAGTGTTAAGGGGTAGGGGTAAACAGTCTACAGTGACAGCCGCATTGGTAATGCATCCCAGGAAATAGCTCCTTTCAAATCCCACAGTGAAGTCTTGATGGTCTCCTGATTTTACCTCCCACTAGGATAGTGGCTCCACTGGGGATGTCGTTCACAGCGTCTGTGGGGTCTGTGTAGAACTGGGCGTTTCTCTGGCTGGAGGTGGAGTAGGAGCAGCCACACGTCTGGGGAACACAGAGGAACAGTCCGAGTTGATTATAGTAAATGAAAAACTAATCATAAAAAAACACTTTAGTAAACTGAAATGAAATAATTAACAAACCTGTTTGAAAAACAAACTATACTGAAACTATTATAATTCCTCCTAAACTAACCACAAAAAAAAAAAAAAATGGAGGGCAGAAAATCTAATGGGGTTTTCAAGCTACTGAATCTGGTGTGTCACATTGAGATTGACTTTGTAATTTAAAAAGGTAGACTCAGCGAGATGACGTTGCCATGAGCAGCTATTGGACGTGTTTGAGTGGTAAGGCTAAAGCAACAGACTGTAGACGAAAGTCGAGGAGTGAAGTCGGGGGAGGTGCATCTGTGACAGCCGAAAGTCAGACACTAATGTGGTTTTCTAACCGCAAGGCTCAGATCAACATGGCAGTGTTGCCATTGTTTATAAAATGTATCTAACCCCTATATCACACACTCACAAATAACTGAAATCATATTACAATTTTATTTGTGTACATTGTACAATCAATTAGTGAGCGAGAGCCTCAAATATCACATTAACTTGTATATATATCCAGTGTATACATAACTCACAGCAAATTGTTTCCTCTTTCAGTCATGTCTTTGGTCACGTTCGTGTGGGTCAAACAAAAAACCCTAATGATTGCTTTACAAAAGAGCCTCCCACAATGCAGGCGATGGCTGCTGGAGGAAGTTGATGAAGAGCAACTGCTGAAACGTGCAGTCGACTGCAGTCAAAACTTCATGACCTTTGATCACATGATTTTTGTAAAATTCATGAAGTTGGCATGTAGGCGCAAGTCGGACAAGTTCTATCCCCAGAATGCAACACACTTTGAAAGGCAGTGACCAGCGATAGTCACCGACTTCACAAAAGTGATCCGCTGCAAGACTTTGCTCTCACAGTCACACAGAGTATCAGCTCACTAATTATCACCGAAATGAAAGCTAGACAGTCAGCGAGCATCAAAGATTCCAATAACGATGGATAGAGGACTATTTGGGCCACATTTTGACGGCGAGGAAATATAACCAGTTTTCAGTGCGGCCCTCCAGACCTCGTTGAAGACCGAGTGCGGCCCTCCGGACCTCGTTGAAGACCGAGTGCGGCCCCCCGGACCTCGTTGAAGACCGAGTGCGGCCCCCGGGGGAAAAAGAGTTTGACAACACTGGACTAGGCTATCAGCCCTATAAAATCAGCACTTCACATTGACGGGAGTGAGATAAAAACCAAGGCCTATTAAAGAATGTATTCAGCTACAGCACAGGAAAGATCAACAAGAAAGGCAATGCACAACAAACAACAGCTTGTCAGACAAAGTAAGAGCGGCAAGCAGACAGACTGGCTTGAACTGGTGGTATCTTGGGAACTCTGCCAGGAAGCAAATTCCTCCGGCTGAGGTGTGGAAAGCAGACGGAAGCCCAAGCTCATCATTTTCAACCATTATCCCACCACTAACTAATAATATCCACCGTACTGGACTACTGTAGATGGAAGGCTCACTGGAGAAAATCGGAAGTCTCTGACAACACAACCCATAATATAATAGTTATTTTTCTTAGCTCTGACATTAGCCTCAAGTCCCTGAAGTACAAAATAAAATATAATTAAAATGTCTGCAATCATCTCCTGACCAGCTTAAGTTTTCACCCATTATCCCACCTTTCACGCTTTTATGATCCACTGAACTACTGGGCAGGAGTATGGTGGAATTCTGTAATTTGACATACATGGCTTGACTTCGCCCTCAGCTCATGTAAAAATGAATAGTGAATTAGAAATTATGTCAAATCAAGTGGGAGGAATATGCTCCCAGAAGGAAAGGAAAAAAACGTCCCAAAATAGGTTTGACTGTAAACCTAGGACCAGCATCTTGTGTTAAAGGCCCAGTGAAGTCAAAAAAATTTTTTTCCTGTGTTTTATATTTCCACACTATGGAGGATGGAATAATACTGTGAAATTGCATCTTTTTTACATTCAACACCAGGCGGTAAATTAGTTGATAGACCAACAAGAAATAGAGTTCCAAACCTCCCTGCCAATAACAGCTAGATTTTGTTTTTTCTCTCCCAAATCAGACCACTCCCAAACAGTCCTATCAAAAGTATTGCTTGAGAAATTGCTCTTTGCTAAGAAGCTTTTTTTTCTTCCTTTTTGAACCTTTAAATTGAAAACAAATCACATTAAGGTACTTGATTGTTACCTAGAAATGATTTGATATCAAGATGAAAACGGTGGCATTGGGCCTTTAAGTTTATATACCCAGGCTGACCTAGACAGAACCTTTCAGGATGATTAACGACCATTAGCTTTATTTACTGTTATAACCTACAACACCTTATCTTAGGTCCACACCCACTGTACTGTGGCACAAATATCACACATCAGCAACCGCATTACATGTGACTAAAGGAAGTCAAAACATAATAATACAACATGTTATAGGCTAACTTCTATAGGTAATGCAATGCACAACAAAATGCATAGAACATCAATATCATGGCGTCAACAACTGTGTAATTCCCTAATCATTGTAGTGTGTAGCAAAGTACCTCACCTCCACAGAGTTGAGAGCAGACTAGAGTTTTTGAAATGAACCTCCGACTCCTTCGAGTCGCTATGCAGTCGATACTTAAAAAATATACATTCTTAAACCCTTACAGTGTACCTATGTTTATCCTCGGTTGTTGCGTGCCTTTCTTTATTTGCTGAAATCCATAATTTTTTATAAAACGTTAATCAAATACAACCACCGACTGTTTCCTCGTATCGACGGACAGCGACTCGATGTAGTCGGAGGTACACTCCGCCAACTCTCGTCTCCACTCAACTCTGTTGATGTGAAGTACATCGTTGAGTTTAACTTGCCTATGTAATGTGCTATATACACTCCAATTCACTACTTCTATAACAGAAATACAAACATAGACATGATTAACAATACCCTTATTGGAGAACTGTAGGCATTGCTTTCTTTTCTATTCTACTACCGATAGCTTATACTTTAGTTTACAGAGACTGTTCTGCACTACAGTTGTACATGCCTCTAATTTTGGCTGTCCTTTTAGTGCACGTGGCTTGCAAAGGGTCCGGGGGCACTGGGTTGCAACGCAATGGAAACATTCTTGGGCTTCTGTGTAATACTATATTGGTAGAGGTGAATTCTTTATACAGTTTAGCTGGGGGAGTGTCTTCAATGGGAACTAGCTACTGTACACAAAGAACACATAGAGGCTTTGGCAAAACAAACAATTGGACACATTAAATTGGAATCCTAAGTCCTTTCTCAACCAAGGTCATGTGAGTGTGTAAGGGTGACAGACTCATTACAGTAGCTACAACAGTAGGTAGCCAACATAGGCTAAATAGCTAACAGGCTGGGGAAAATGTATGTGTCCAGTTGCAGGTGGTGCGTTTGAATTGAGAAAATACTATGTTATAAAAACAATATATAAAGAACTGCTCCATGAAGTAATCCAACAATGTGTATGCTGCCATCTTGTCTATTACAAATCTTCTCTCATTGATTGAGACAGGTGGGTCCACCCCAAAGTGCCGCATGTCATGATGACACCCACCTGTCTCGATCAATGAAAGAAGACAGGTTATCCATTATACTGACCAGATACTCTAGTGGCCGCTCTAACAATGAAAATACATGGGCGTGTTTGAGTCGTAAGGTGAAAGCAACTGACTGTAGACGCACGTCGAGGAGTGAGGTCGGGGGAGGTGCATCTGCAACAGCTGACTGATGTGGTTTTCCCACAGCAAGGCTCAGTGCAACATGGCAGCGTTGCCATTGTTTATTAAAGTTTTTCTTTAAAACGTTGAAATTACGCACACGCACAAACTGAAAATATATGTGTGCACATTGTACAATCAATTAGTGGGAGAGAAAGAGTCAAATATCACATTCATTTCTACATACCCGCTGTATACATGAATTGCGGGAAAGTTGGTTCCTGTTTAAGTCACGTCTTTGGTCACATTCGCATGTCAAACACAAACACCTACAGAAACTACAGAAACTTACAGTCAACTCCAGTTAAAACTTCATAACCTTTTTTCACATGATTTTTGTAACAATGGTCACTGACTTAACAAAAGTGATTCGCTCGAAAGCGCATAGTCTTCAAAAATAGAAGGGAGTCGGGAGGAGGCAAGATCATGTGGGACGCATGTGAACAACAGGCACAACGGTTACCACTAGATACCACAGCGTCAATTTTTTATTATTTTTTAAATGTTTTTTGCTTTTATGGTTAGGGTTAGGCATAAGGTTAGCAGTGTGTTCAAGGTTAGGTTTAAAATCACACTTTAAGAAGAGCAACTTTGTGGCAACTAGTGACGACCAGGACCACTCCGATATAAAGTGTTTTTCCTCAAAGTTGCCGGGATGTCACGTGACTTGTAACAACCTAATCATTACAAAACTTCTATTCGATCAGATAAGCCACATATGGCTTCGTTTTTTGTTAACCAAATTCGACACTCATTGAGCTCCATACAAAAACTCCTCACTTGCTGAGCGAAAAAAACGAAACACCACCACCTGCCGTAGAAGACCGATTTTTGGCCCAATTATCCCTCTCGCTTCTCCTTTCTGGAGAATTTTTGAAATAGACAAAATGGCGGCGTACACATTGTTGGATTACTTCATGGAGCAAAAAATTGATTTATTTTTTATAACGGAGCATTCTCTTAATTCAAAACGCGCCACCTGCAACTGGACACAGACATTTTAGAAGACACACACATTACATACAGTTGAAGTCGGAAGTTTACATACACCTTAGCCAAATACATTTAAACTCAGTTTTTCACAATTCCTGACATTTAATCCTATTAAAAATTCCCTGTTTTAGGTCAGTTAAGATCACCACTCAGAATAATAACATTTTACATTTACATTTTAGTCATTTAGCAGACGCTCTTATCCAGAGCGACTTACAGTTAGTGAATACATATTTATTTTTTATACTGGCCCCCCGTGGGAATCGAACCCACAACCCTGGCGTTGCAAACGCCATGCTCTATCAACTGAGCTACATCCCTGCCGGCCATTCCCTCCCCTACCCTGGACGACGCTGGGCCAATTGTGCGCCGCCCATGGGTCTCCCGGTCGCGGCCGGCTGCGACAGAGCCTGGATTTGAACCAGGATCTCTAGTGGCACAGTTAGCACTGCGATCGAAGTGCCTTAGACCACTGCGCCACTCAGGACAATACAGTAGAGATAATGATTTATTTCAGCTTTTATTTCTTTCATCACTTTTCCAGCGAGTCAGAAGTTTACATACACTCAATTAGTATTTGGTAGCATTGCCTTTAAATTGTTTAACTTGGGTCAAACGTTTCGGGTAGCCTTCCACAAGCTTCCCACAATAAGTTGGGTGAATTTTGGCCCATTCCTCCTGACAGAGCTGGTGTAACTGAGTCAGGTTTGTAGGCCTCCTTGTTCGCACACACTTTTTCAGTTCTGCCCACAAATGTTCTATAGGATTGAGGTCAGGGCTTTGCGATGGCCACTCCAATACCTTCCCTTTGTTGTCCTTAAGACATCTTACCACAACTTTGGAAGTATGCTTGGGGTCATTGTCCATTTGGAAGACCCATTTGCGACCAAGATTTAACTTCCTGACTGACGTCTTGAGATGTTGCTTCAATATATCCACAATTTTCCTTCCTCATGATGCCATCTATTTTGTGAAGTGCACCAGTCCCTCCTGCAGCAAAGCACCCCCGTGCTTCAAGGTTGGGATGGTGTTCTTTGGCTTGCAAGTACCCCCATTTTTCCTCCAATCATAACGATGGTCATTATGGCCAAACAGTTCCATTTTTGTTTCATCAGACCAGAGGACATTTCTCCAAAAAGTACGATCTTTGTACCCATGTGCAGTTGCAAACCGTAGTCTGGCTTTTTTATGGCGGTTTTGGAGCAGTTGCTACTTCCTTGCTGAGCGGCCTTTCAGGTTATGTCGATATAGGACTAGTTTTACTGTGGATATAGATACTTCTGTACCCGTTTCCTCCAGCATCTTCACAAGGTTCATTGCTGTTGTTCTGGGATTGATTTGCACTTTTCGAAACCAAAGTACGTTCATCTCTAGGAGACAGAACGCTTCTCCTTCCTGAGCGGTATGACGGCTGTGTGGTCCCATGGTGTTTATACTTGCGTACTATTGTTTGTACAGATGAACGTGGTACCTTCAGGCGTTTGGAAATTGCTCCCAAGGATGAACCAGACTTGTGGAGGTCAAAAAAAAAAAATTCTGAGGTCTTGGCTGATTTCTTTTGATTTTCCCATGATGTCAAGCAAAGAGGCACTGAGTTTGAAGGTAGGCCTTGAAATACATCCACAGGTACACCTTCAATTGACTCAAATGATGTCAATTAGCCTATCAAAAGGTTCTAAAGCCATGACATCATTTTCTGAAATTTTCCAAGCTGTTGAAAGGCACAGTCAACATAGTGTATGTAAACTTCTGACCCACTGGAATTGTGATACAGTGAATTATAAGTGAAATAATTGGAAAAATTACTTGTGTCATGCACAAAGTAGATGTCCTAACCGACTTGCCAAAACTATAGTTTGTTAACAAGAAATGTGTGGAGTGGTTGAAAAACGAGTTTCAATGACTCCAACCTAAGTGTATGTAAACTTCCGACTTCAACTGTACATTCATACATACACTACCAGTCAAAGGTTTGGACACACCTACTCATTCAAGGGTTTTTCTTTATTTTTACTATTTTTTACATTGTAGAATAATAGTGAAGACATCAAAACTATGAATCATGGAATCATGTAGTAACTAAAAAAGTGTTAAACAAATCAAAATATATTTTATATTTGAGATTCTTCAAACAGCCACCCTTTGCCTTGATGACAGCTTTGCACACTCTTGGCATTCTCTCAACCAGCTTCATGAGGTAGTCACCTGGAATGCATATTAATTAACAGGTGTGCCTTGTTTAAAGTTAATTTATTTCCTTCTTAATGCATTTGAGCCAATCAGTTGTGTTGTGACAAGGACGACGACGATAGCCCTATTTGGTAAAAGACCAAGTCCATATTATGGCACGAACATCCATAGACAAACTTTGGCAGTATAATGGCCTAATTGAAGAGCGCAGTGACTTTCAATGTAGCACCATCATAGGATGCCACCTTTCCAACAAGTCAGTTTGTCAGATTTCTGCCCTGCTAGAGCTGCCCCGGTCAACAGTAAGTGCTGTTATTGTGAATTGGAAACGTCTAGGAGCAACAACGGCTCAGCAGCGAAGTGGTAGGCCACACAAGCCGCCAGAACGGAACCACTGAGTACTGAAGTACGTAAAAATCATCTGTCCTTGGTTGCAACACTCACTACTGAGTTCCAAACTACCTCTGCAAGCAACGTCAGCACAATAACTGTTCGTCGGGACAAATCTGGGTTTGGCGGATGCCAGGAGAACGCTACCTGCCCCAATGCATAGTGCCAACTGTAAAGTTTGGTGGAGGTGGAATAATGGTCTGGGGCTGTTTTTCATGGTTCGGGCTAGTCCCCTTAGTTCCAGTGAAGGGAAATCTTAATGCTACAGCATACAATAACATTCTAGACGATTCTGTGCTTTCAACTTTGTAGCAACAGTTTGGGGAAGGCCCTTTCCTGTTTCAACATGACAATGCCCCTGTGCACAAAGCGAAGTCAATACAGAAATGGTTTGTCAAGATCTGTGTGGAAGAACTTGACTGGCCTGCACAGAGCCCTGACCTCAACCTCATTTTACACCTTTGGGATGAATTGGAAAACCGACTGCGAGCCAGGCGTAATCGCCCAATATCAGTACCCAACCTCACTAATGCTCATGGCTGAATGGAAACAAGTCCTCGCATCTAGTGGAAAGCCTTCCCAGGAGGGTGGAGGCTGTTATAGCAGCAAAGAGGTGACAAACTCCATCTGAACGCCCATGATTTTGGAATGAGATGTCCACATACTTTTGGTAATGTAGTATACATGTTTGGCCGAATCGATAACAAAAACAGTATTGCCAATACCAGCTTAGTAGAAAAATCTGGAGACGTTTTGCATAGGCAAACCTGTAACATCCAGTAATGGATCAAAAATCGTTGGTTACATCATTGTCTGGTGTACAATATGTAGCTAGGAAATAGCTACCATGGATAGCATGGAATGGAAGCATCAAACACCACGCGCATTTATGAAAAGTATCACCATTACTGGTTGCCTAACGTTAGCTAGTTCATCCAGTAGTTTATGCTGCAAGCCTATACTGTAAATGAAAATATTGAATTTGGATTTCAATTTAGGGGTTAAAATTGAAGGTGCCATGCTATGGATCATACGCACTAAAAGCAAAGCCTCCCAATCTCTGTAGCTAGTTAGTTAGCTAGCTATATAGCAGTCTATTCGTATTTAGTCTATTTCATTGACGCATTTCGATACTGACCTTGATCATGGAATGGGTGATGGAGTTAAAATTGGGCCTGCAGGTGGCAGACAGGTTTTTCAAGAATAAATTCTCCGCTCTTGACAATACTTTGAGGGACGCCATGTTTTTAGAGCTAACTACCAGTCTTCAAATTGATGAACAATGTGGGCTATCAGACGGTCGCGTTATGTGTGTGATCCCAGCTGGTAAAATGACACTGAAACTAGAGGGTGTAGGGGGCGGGGCTAGCCGAGGAGAGACAGAGGCTCGGCTAGTTCATTATAATTTAACCGTTTCGCTGCTAGCCACTCCCGAGTGCGCGGGCTTTTGTTCTAGTCTAGTTTACATTTACATTTTAGTCATTTAGCAGACGCTCTTATCCAGAGCGACTTACAGTTAGTGCATACATTATTTTATCGAACCCACAACCCTGGCGTTGCAAACGCCATGCTCTACCAACTGAGCTACATCCCCTGCCGGCCATTCCCTCCCCTACCCTGGACGACGCTGGGCCAATTGTGCGCGCCGCCCCATGGGTCTCCCGGTTGTAGCCAATATGATATGAACCGATAAAAAACAAAAACAAAAAAAACATTCATTTTTCTTATAAATGTTCTTGGCTGGACCAAGCCTTCCTACGGGGGGCCAGTATGAAAAATGTATGCACTCACTAATTGTAAGTCGCTCTGGATAAGAGCGTAGCTAAATGACTAAAATGTCAACAACAAAAATGGGTTCCCTAAACCAGCATTGACTGCACTATATAACATAATTAAATGCAATTGACAGAGGGGCACAAATCCATGGATATATTTGGAGCAAACACATCGTGGATCAAAGCGCCGCAGATAATCAAATAAAGACATTTGTTTCATCACGTGAATAATCATAGCGTCACGTCACGTGACAGTGTTTTTAGTCATGGCCGACGACTGCAGACGACAGGGGTTTGAGCTGGAGAGAAGGATTTTTGAGTTGGACAATAAGTGCGCCAGTCTCAGAACTGAGAAACAAGGTAGGCGTACACACAGTTACAGCGATAATTTGTCAAGAAAGGTAATCTCGCGTTGATGCACACCGTGTTCAGTTGAAATCTATTTTCAGCTAACTTAGCTACATTAGCTAGCGCTACCTAGTTAGTGCCATACACTTTACCATTGTAGCTAGCTACGAACCTAACGTAGCAGGCGTAAAAAGACCGCGTTACCTCGTTGGTAACCTTGGCTTTGCAACAACAGTAAACCATAGTTATGACCCAAAGCATAAATTCGCTAGATAACTAGCTAGGTAGGTTTGCTGGGCTAAGTAGCTAACGTTATTTAGCTAGTTAGCTTTAGCGAGCTAGCTTGGTAGCTAATTCTGTGGTAGGTAGTTAGGTAACGTATAGCGAGCTAGCTAACTTAGCTAGCGTTAATGTGTCGACAAAGATACGGTCGAGCTATGATCCATTTATCATTTTACTTTTCGACACATTCAATGCAGAACTAGTATTGTAGCTATATTGCACAATGCCCTTTGGAACGTTAGTTTAGCTAACAACTTCAACACAATCCATCGACTTGCCACAACCGAACAGCAAAGTTCTTCTGTCAGTCAGATCTGCTGAAACAGGAGAGAAACCTCTAGTTAGTTAGCTAACGTTAACTAGTTGGCCGCAGACACCGTGCACACCAACCCGGGCCCTACCCAACGTTAGTGGTTCACGCTGTTGCAACAATGTTGCTAACTAGGCTATTCTGGAATCTTGTTATGTTGCATGTATTAGTTAGCCTAACAAGGTTTATGCATTCCACTTTGTGTAGTTTGGGTTCACGGCCAACTATTATCTTCCAATTTAACTTACTACTATCTCTCTCTGACTCTGCGTGTTACAAGTGATTTCGACACTAGGTACTGCATACACTACATATTCTGGTGCAATACAAGAGATGTCGCTAAACGAATGTTTGATATGTGATACAACTAATACTTAGTCTCTAGTCTACAGTGTCATAATAGTGTGTACAATGGTGGACATAGGCTATGTTCTTTACTGACTAACTCAAGGGGGCAGTTCCTTACATTTTATGCCATAATGCCACTCTGTGAAACGACATTGTAAAGTCATAGATATGATCAGTGTTTATGATAACTAACACTTTAATTGATACATTAAACTCTGAAAACATGAGATGCACTGTTTAGATATAGGCCTGTAATACGTACTTAACATAATTTATTTTCTCCTAGATGATGACTATTTACAGAATGCTTCTGCGATACTAGACAAGTTGAAAAGCTTTTACAGACAAGGGGGAGAGAGTAGCAGTCTGCCTAAACTGCTTCAGGATTACACTCAGGTATTGTAGTTCATTAAATATAACTGTTCTGGATAGATTCTGGACAAAATGTTTTAGGATTCATGTTACCATTCAATTTCCCTTCATATCTGATAAAGGAAAGTGTTACTATTCTGTTTTGGGGAAATATATGGCACGCTCAGGCTGGATCACAAGGCTAGCAAATTCCCCCAAATGTCTCTGTCCGAGCAGAATATTCCACCTGCTGTTTGAAATAGGATGACGGTACTCTATTGTATTAAGTTGTTGATGTCATCCAATGACATGAGCTTAAATTAGCCTGAAGGTGTGAGAGTGCAGACACACTTGTCTGTCCTTGATGCTGGAAGTTTCAACTGACCAGTATCTGACTGGCTCTATTCACACATTTTTAAGTGCATCATTCCTCACTTCCTTGAAGCAACTCAATCACTGATCTGTTAGTGAATGCAATGTTTTCATCCTTTCACCTGTCAGACCATAGAAGATCAGTGACTACTTTAAAAGATGAAAGGACAGAAGGATGCAATTCTAAAAAGTAGTGGAACTAGGCCACAAATATGGAAATCTAGATGAGTTCAAAAGATTTGAATGCTAACTTCAAAGTGCAGTGATAAACCGTGACTTGTTGACGCATTTGCTACTGACAACATTCCAACCCACGGTCTGTCTGAGTTATCCACATCATCCCTACCCACCATAGCAGAGTTAGACATAGGCTGGTGACGAGAGACAAAGATACATTTCCTTGCGTCCTTTGCCTTGTTGATGGAAGAATTGGCCGACAGCCTGTGGACAAATCTAGCCACTACAAAAAGTCTGCAGGTGGCACGTGATACCTGTCATAAATGTTAGCCAAAAATAGATACATTAATGTGGTGAATGAGATCACCAGACCTCAATGGATGAATTGCAAAACTATAATTGTCAAATCAAATGTATTTGTGTTTAAAGTAAAGAACAAGACTAAAGTGTGTGTATTGTTTTTTGTGTGTAGGTGATCCTGGACATCACGTTCTATGAGGAGAACAAGCTGGTGGACCAGGAGTTTCCAGAGGACTGCTCACCCTTTAAGATCCAACAGTTGCTGCAGGACCTCACAGAGCCAGAAGTGTTGGCAGGGAGGCTGGCACCGGCCCAAGAGGTGTGTGTGTGCATGCAAGAGATATTCAGCCCTTCATGAAGGGCAATGCAAGTGCTCAATTGGTAGAGCATGGCGCTTGTAACGCCAGGGTAGTGGGTTCGATCCCCGGGACCACCCATACGTAAAAATGTATGCACGCATGACTGTAAGTCGCTTTGGATAAAAGCGTCTGCTAAATGGCATATTATATTATTATTATATTAAGGACCTCGTATGCACAGAGTATTTTGTTCACTACAAGAAAATAGTAACTTTACACTGGTGCTCTCTCACACACACACCTATTGTTTACTGTATTGTTAAGACAGCTCTCCCTGTTCCAGGTGCAGTCAGTGCTGGGGCTAGAGGTGTTAGAGTGCCTCTACTGGAGACGTGGAGCACTGCTCTACATGTACTGCCACACCCTCCACCAACGCAAGCAGTGGATCAAGAAGAACAAGGCCACTTTCCTCAAGGTAGGGCCGCCTCCACTCATTTGGCCAACTTCTAACTTGATATAGCAAGCATAACTTGAATTGCTGTGCCCCTGCTACTAGCAGTTGGATTCCTCATGCCTGTTGTTATGTCTGTCTTGTTTCAGTGTCTTCAGGAGGGCGTACGCTACCTGATGAGGATGCTGCAGGTGAGGAACTCTGTGAAGCTCAATGACGGGGTGGTGTTTCACGACTCTGCTACCGCCAACTTCCTGGCTGAAGGTAAACGTCATAGGATCACTATATATTATACGTGGTCCTCTGTAGCTCAGCTGGTAGAGCACGGCGCTTGTAACGCCAAGGTAGTGGGTTCGATCCCCGGGACCACCCATACACAAAAATGTATGCACGCATGACTGTAAGTCGCTTTGGATAAAAGCGTCTGCTAAATGGCATATTATTATGGCTTGCACAATGTTACACATTTGTTTTGTTGACATTATCAAGACAACTTTTTTCTTCACTTCATTTATATTACATGCTTGTTTTGTTGACTATATTCTTAATTTCTCAAGGGATGAGAAAACGCGTCTGATTTATTTATGTTTTTATTTTGTTTTTCCAACAGGCATCTTCTCAGACACCCACCTGCTGACGATGATGTACATCGGGGAGATGTGTTTCTGGGCAGTGAAGTACGAGGACTGCAGCGTTGATTCCACAGAACGCAAAGAGGACCGGCTCCACTTCCGGGACATTGGGACACAGGTCCTGCACAAATACGTGCTGGCCTGTGAGGGCCCTCTTCAGGGCCAGGGTTGGAACACTGAGAATGCCAAGGAGATCCTTAGTATCTTACAGTGAACTGGGGAGGGCACTGGGTACAAGTTGCCCATAGGCACTGATATGGGATCAGATGATCAAACCCCAAATTGTAATACTAAGCATTAAGAGAGATGGAGGGGGAATCTGACCTTAAATCAGTTTCTAGGAGCAACTTCTTCCCGTTCTGAAAGGCTCCGGCCGACGTAGGTGGTGAAGGTTGGGGCAAAGGGAGGTGAAGAATGAAGGGGCAAGGGTATGGAGTGATGTTAATGAAATGTTATTCTCCCCGTCCCCTGCAAGAAGCACTTATCTTCCAGATTCCAGACTGTTGGATGGGCATGTGTTATGCTCTGAGAATGTGGTAGAATAATAATATCAATAATATCAGAAGATTATTAAGCAAATATCACATTGTTACAAAAAAGAAAACAAAGATTGTTTGAAGATTAATGATAATCTAGCTGGTAATGAGACATCGCACAGCAATTGTTTTTATTTATTTTTATTTGTTTTGAATGTTTTTTAAATTAATTGCATTTATATAAATATATACGAAAAAAGGTAAGGTGGGGAATACACAGAGTTGGAGACTGATGGATTCATGACCATTTTCAAGTATGTACAGTTTTGTTTAAAATATCAGCTTTGTAATATGCCAGTTCTTTTTCTCACATATGAAACATCCATTTTTTCGGCCACACTTTGACAAGGAGTAATATCCCAGTGATGGGAACTTTGATATTTTGATAGTATGCATTTAAATTGAGAATCTCTGTGTTGGTGTTCATTTTGAAGAAGAAGAAAAAAGTTTTTCATTCTTTCATTTTATGTCCTCATTGAAAATAAATACTGAATGTTGGTTTCAAAATGAGTTGTAGAATGTATTGCACACTAATATAACTCCAATAACCACAATGCACCTCTTTGACGCCAACAACAAGGAAGTAGGTGAACTGGTAACTACAAGAAACGTTAGCTTTGCTGTCAACTTCCCTCACAGTAGCCAGCGACCTATTTCAGCTTTGATAAATGTTTAGCACATAGAGGACAGCGCAGACGCATTGTCATTGTTAGCAAATCAAAAGCAAGATGTCAGGGAAAAGTCAGAGCAACGAGTCTGTAGTTATACGAAGTATCAGACAGTTCCGAGAGAAGTACTTCAATGCAAGGAAAAACGTCAATGATCAGGCGCATGCAGCAGCAGACACCAGTGAAGACGCACCTCCGGCCTTTTTGGACTGTTTACCCGTAAGATACAGGACTTGTGAAGTTGTGAAAGCCAGTTGGCTACTTCTAATGATCAGATTTTTTGTTGTTGGAGGGATCTAATGAGAAATGATATAATATACTGTGGGTATAGAGCAAGTGACTTGGAATATTTTAATTTATCGGACATTTGGGAAATGTTCCGGTCATCCATATGCATTGGGTGCGTAACCCATTAGGCCAGAGCCTTTCATATTGCACCAGTTCAGGTAGTCAAGGGCTATGGACGTTTGGTGAATACGACCCTGATGTGTAGAAACAGTATGTACCATCATCAACCAGCACATTCAATACTTCACTCTCTCCTCTCCTCCTCGCCCCTCTCCTGCTCTCTCCATCTCTCCCACTACAGGTGGACTTACAGTTCCTGATCATGACCCTGCTGTCTCCTGTGGACCTCTGTCGTCTGGGGGCCACCAGTAGCTACTGGAGGGCTGTGGTCAGAGACCCCTTACTATGGAGATACTTCCTGGTCAGGGACATGCCTAATTGGCCCTCCATCGACCATGTGACCATGCCCCGGTTAGAGGCCTTACACACCCCTCTGTGTGTGGGGGAGGAGGGGATGGTGGAGCCAGGACATGACTTCATGACAGAGTGGGTAGTGGTCTGAAACTCTGGTATTGGAATGCATGAGGAAGGCAACAAGGATTTACTGTGATATGTGGTCATCTTACCTAAGTTGAATGAACTAACTGACACTCAGGAAAATAGTGTCTGCTAAATGACAAAAATGTAAATAATGAAGCCTTGTTGAATGCATAAATAGTCTAGTACCCAGGCTATGGAGTGACTGTGAATGCATTTGGTTGGTAGATTGATTTTCCAGGAGGCCATAAAAGTCCGACTTGTCAAGATATTTTGCTTGAGTCATTGGTCAAGTCCAAATGTATTAGTCACTCACTCATAATGTTCAACTTCAGCAATGGAACTGGCCCTCCCTGCCTACCTAAGTAATAATTGCCTGTCCCTTCTTAGTTATCTAAAGGGCTACCCAGCCTGCAGACAGCGATGGTGTCCCCAGAGGCCGCCCTACAGGGTTGTGACCTCCTTCCTCCAGTCGCTGGTGGTCACCACCACTGAGCCACGCTACGCCATGTTTGGCCCCGGCATGGAACAGCTAGATGTCTCCATGGTGACCAGGCTCATGCACACCCCAGATGTGCTCCCTGTAGCAGGGATACCCCAGAGACAGATCAACGGTGGGTTACCCACTCTCCTCTCTGATCCATGCTTTTAGAGGGTCCACCTCCTCGAGACTTTCTGTGACAGGTGAAAGCAAAATAGACACAGTTAAAATAAACATCAACCATATTGGTGTTACCTGAATTGTGTTTGCTTATAATAAACTAAACAGCTGAATAAGTAAGGTAGGGACAGGACATGGTGAACAGTTGGAAAACCATCCTGCACTAGTACTGACCAACCAGAAGGGGGCACTCTTGCTTCACACTAGCAGTTGCCAAGTTCTGTGCTGTGGTGGGCAGCCGACCTAAAGCCTTTGGGTTTTTTTTGGCTCACCAACTAAACAAAACCAATGTTGTTATTTTTTCCAGGTATTGGATCTGGGATTAGTTACATGTACAAAAACCAGCACAAATTCAATATTCTGACTCTCTACTCAACCAACAGGTTAGTGTTATCAGTATTGTCCTCCAATGACTGATTTGGGATGTACTGTTACCATTCAAGGTATTGCAATGGCCAACCCAGGCGCTCATGTGCATGCGTGTGTGTATATGTCTACCCTAACCCCTTGTGTTTGTGTGTGCAGGGCAGAGAGGGAGAGAGCCCGCGTGGAGCAGCAGAGTGTCAGCAACAAACTCTTCATCCTGGAGGGAACAGACCAATCAGGACACCCACATTTTAGCCCCACCCCTCAGGTCCAGGAAGTGTGTCAGGCGGTGGATGGGTTCATCTATGTGGCCAACGCAGAGCCAGGAAGAGGTAATACCAAGATGCCATTACATTCCTCATACATGCTCCTATTCCTAGGGCCTTGTTGCCAAGCCCGAGAAAGGTGAGACCAAAGCCCCATTCCATTACTATCGCCTGTATCTGCAACCCTGGGGCCTTGCTGCCTCCTTGCAGGCTTTTTGGTAATTTAGCAGATGCTTATTCTTTATTTGTGACACAATGTAAATGTGATTTTCTGTATTCCAATCTCATTTTGTATGACTGTGTGTGTCATGCCGTGCATTAGAAATTATGCAGTTGTTTATGGTAACATCTCTACAACTCTGCCGTGTGAAAATGTCACCATATTATGTGTCTGTCTCCTATTAGATGATGAGGGGGCGGTGGAGACTGCTCAGATCCAGGCGTTGGTGGACCCTGCCTTAGGCTCGTCCTCCAGACCCCTCCTGGTCCTGTCCTGTGTGTCCAGAGAGGAACCAGACCCGATCAGAACCACCAGCTCCAGTACTACCAGAGCCAGCACCAGGACCCCCTGTGTGGATATGGCCCAGAGACTCTGCCTGCCCATGCTGCCCAACCCCTGGATGGTGAGTCTGTCAGTCTATCTAGTCTGTCTGTCTGTGTAGTGTGTCTTGTCTTGTCTGTCTGTCTTTGTGAAACACCCTTTGTATTTGGCCGTCTCTTTCCAGGTTCAGGACACAGTAGCAGAGTCTCTGTCTGGTGTCTTAGATGGGATCTCCTGGCTGCTGGGGTGTTCTGGTCTCAGGCTGTAGCTAGCTGTCTAAGGAACTACCTTCAGGACCGAAACAACACACTACAGAACCAGAAGAAATGCTTCTGAAGGAATGTTTTACCTCTGATGTGCCTTGCTTCAATGAATCACATAAAAAAAGTTATTATTGGGTAAATACTTTGTAATTAGCCTGTAATGATCTTTCCTCGATAGTGGGTTGTGAAGTTTTAACAGTAGCTATGGTACTGTAATGAATATTATGAAGATGAATGAAGGGTTTTGATATTACTACTACGGTGTACTTTAGAATCATATTGACGTGACAATGAATTGTATTTTTTGATACCTATATTTAGGGAAATCATGCAATTATTCTCCAATTTCTTTCATATAATTTATACAATATTATACTACGAAATGTGTATGCTTTTATTTTCTTTAATTGTTTATATTCATGTTGTTATTTACCCCTGTATAAGTTGTTATAAAGGAACTGAAAATACATGCATGTGTACAGTGCCTTTGGAAAGTATTCAGACCCCTTGACCTTTTCAACATTTTGTTACAGCCTTATTCTAAAATGGATTAAACAAAAATAAAAATCCTCAGCAATCTACACACAATACCCGATAATGACAAAGCGAAAACAGGTTTTTAGAAATTTTAGCAAATGTATTCAAACTAAAAAACAGAAATACCTTATTAACATTAGTATTCAGACCCTTTGCTATGAGTTTCAAAATTGAGATCAGGTGCATCCTGTTTCCATTGATTATCCTTGAGATGTTTCTACAACTTGATTGGAGTCCACCTGTGGTAAATTCAATTGATTAGACATGATTTGGAAAGGCACACACCTGTCTATATAAGGTCCCACAGTTGACAGTGCATGTCAGAGCAAAAACCAAGCCATGAGGTCGAAGGAATTGTCCATAGCGCTTCGAGACAGGATTGTGTTGAGGCACAGATCTGGGGAAGGGTACCAAAATAAATTCTGTAGCATTGAAGGTCCCCAAGAACACAGTGGCCTCCATTATTCTCTTCCTAGAGCTGGCCGCCCGGCCAAACTGAGCAATCGGGGGAGAAGGGCCTTGGTCAGGGAGGTGACCAAGAACTCGATGGTCACTCTGACAGAGCTCCAGAGTTCCTCTGTGGAGATGGCAGAACCTTCCAGAAGGACAACCATCTCTACATCACTCCACCAATTAGGCCTTTATGGTAGAGTGGCCAAAATTGAAGCCACTCTTCAGTAAAAGGCACATGACAGCCCACTTGGAGTTTGCCAAAAGGCACCTAAAGACTCGCAGACCATGAGAAACAAGATTCTCTGGTCTGATGAAACCAACATTGAACTCTTTGGCCTGAATGCCAAGAATCACATCTGGAGGAAACCTGGCACCATCCTACGGTGAAGCATGGTGGTGCAGCATCATGCTGTGGGTAGTTTTTCAGCGCAGGGACTGGGAGACTAGTCAGCATCGAGGTCAAATGAACGGCTTTAAGTACAGAGATCCTTATTGAAACCTGCTCCAGAGCGCTCAGGTCCTCAGACTGGGGCGAAGGTTCACCTTCCAACAGGACAACGACCCTAAGCACACAGCCAAGACAACGCAGGAGTGGCTTCGGGACAAGTCTCTGAATGTCCTTGAGTGGCCCTGCCAGAGCCCAGACTTGAACCCGATCGAACATCTCTGGAGTGACCTGAAAATAGCTGTGCAGCAACGCTCCCCATCCAACCTGACAGAGTTTGAGAGGATCTGCAGAGAAGAATGGGAGAAACTCCCCAAATATAGGTGTGCCAAGCTTGTAGCGTCATACCCAAGAAGACTTGAGGCTGTAATCGCTGCTAAAGGTGCTTCAACAAAGTACTGAGTAAAGGGTCTGAATACTTATGCAAATGTAATACTTCAATTTTTATGAAATTAGCAAAAAATGTCTAAAAAAAAAACGTTTTTGCTTTGTCAAAAAACGTTTTTGCTTTGTCATTATGGGGCATTGAGGGGGGAAAAAACTATTTAATCAATTTTAGAATAAGGCTGTAATGTAACAAACTGTGGAAGAAGTCAAGTGGTCTGAATACTTTCCGAAGGCACTGTATGTACCTAAGTGAAGTGTTGTTTCTTTCAGGACTGTGAGTTTGGAGAACATGTGGAATAGCCCACTGTTTACCAAATGGCGAGCTGTGGCTGATTTGTTTTCGGTTGTGGTTAAAGACCAAATTTTGTTTATTCACTGTGTCAAAGTAGAATTCCAAAAGCTTTTGGTAAGTCACAGCACAGAAACATTTGGTGAGCTGAGCGTGTGGAACAGACAGGCAATTGCTCCATAGTTCCTCGCAATAGTCTAAAGTGGCTTCCAACCCTTTCATTTCTTCCTTTATCTGCACCAATATATATATATATATATACAAATAAAGAGGAAGAAAGGGACTGGTGAAAACACCTTTCACGTCTTCTGCGTTTTCAGATGAGTGCAGACTGGAAGGAGAGGAGACAGAGAGAGAAAGCCATTTTAAAGTGTTGAGATGCACCCCCTGCCTCAGGCGAAGGTTCAGCTTGCTACTCCAGTTCTGGGTGGTTATTTTCCTCTGAGGTCAGCATTGGCATGCTGAAATTAATTCACATCTGTCTGACGGGGAGACGAATGTTCCTGTTTTCATCACCAGGGAACAGGCCTGCTCCTGCTTCTCAGGGCCAGGGGAAGCTGTGTAGAATGTAGTCTAGTTGGTGCTTGGTTTACAATGTTTTCGGGGTGGGGGTTGCACTGTGACTCATGTAAAACGGATTATTTTTGTGTGAAAAAACAAACCTCAAATTTCTAAACACAATCAAGAATGAACTGTTTGCTGAAAGATAAAGCATGGATGTTATTGTCTGGTACAGAACATTAAGATCCTGAGCCCCATGAAACCCCTGGCTGGCATAGATTGAGAGAGGTGTATAACAGAGGTGACCAAATGGCCGCTTTCATAAACCCTGTTCAAATACAGTTCTTTGAAAATGCACCAGATTTTTCTATTTCTTCTAAGTTCTCACTGACGAACCATGCTTTGGTAGGTGACCATGATACTACAGTAGAACCTTTGCTCTGACCTATCCATTCATGTCAGATATGGGCGGACAGGAAACCGAGGGCCTTTTATCATTTTGTTTTATTCATGTCCATTGTGGAAATAAGCAGCTGATTTTTGTCCCTCCCTTGCTCACACACTGTCAACTGTAATAGGGTAATGTGCCAAAGTCAATGCAGTGCTGATGTACTTTAACACCTGTCTTTTGTTCTAGTCCCCTTGGCAACAAAGTGGATAATCATCTCCCTAACCTTCTCTTTTCTGCACCCCCGCCTCAAAAGGTCCCTAAATTGTAGTAATCATCGTCATGGAAATACAGATTTAGAATGCAGTCATAATTGGTGCAATTTGAGTGCATTAAGTCCAGTGTGAATAGTGGAGGGAGATGGCAGCAGCATTCTCTAGATGGTGAAATCAGACTGGATGTAATGGAGGAAGAGTGAGGGCTTTACTGTGACAACCGCCCCTTTCATCCAGCAGGCTGCTCTAAACAGGATGTATCTCCCTGCTTCTCCCTCTACTCAGCCACTTAAACACACACAGACACAGTCAGCTGTCAGTTTTTGGGGTGTGAATGTAATATTGAATAATATTGAAACTGATATATTGACAACCTCTGTAGGAGGTTGATTTTACACATTTGCAAACTCATGAGTGATCCCTAATTTGAAAGTGTGTGTGTATACACCTGTGTGGGTGTTCCACCTAGTGTGAGTACCCCCAATAAGAGCAGGTATGCAGGGAATATTAATATAATGTGTTATTACTCTCTGGCTGTCTGCTGGAGCCCAGTAGGGGCAGGGACGTCTTTTCTGCCTCTACCCACAGAGAGGGAACTGGAGATTTGGACCCGAGGCAGGGACTGAGACTGGAACTAGAGCTGGGGTTAAATCTGACTGAATGGATGGATAGATGAATTATTTGGACTGTTTTGCTGAAATTAGGGCTGGGCCAGGGGCTGCATGAGACTGTACACTTGGGGGGTGGGGCTGGTTCAAGGGTCATGTTCTGGAAGGGGGATGGGTTCCAGATCGACGGCTGATTCTGGTTTCCTTCCCTCCAGGATACGTGACGTCTTGTGGAAGAGGAGAGAAGAGAAAGAGAGTATTTGTGTTTGTGAGTGAGTAAGTGATTAAGTAAATTATTGTCTTTCTTTCTCTCCGGGTTTGGTTTGTGTGGCATCCCAGAGAACCTTATCAACAGTTTATTAAAGTCTGGTGTAAAGAGCCTCACAGCAGTCAGCAACAATGCTGGGTAAGTGTGTGTGTGCGTCAGTGGGAACAGTGGACAGAACACTACGCACAAACCGGTTTACTTCTTCATGCAGTCAATATTTGTGCTGTATTGGGAGGTGACACAATGTGAACAGTGTTGCACTGCTTAACCAAACACAACCATAGGTTCCTAGGTCAGCTCCTGGAGAGTGTGATTAGTAAAATACAGACAAACGAAAGGGAGGGAACAAGGACAGTGAAAGAGCAAAGGTCAATGAGGGAGAGGAGAGACAGACAGACAGACAGACAGACAGACAGAAAGATGTCATTGCCATGATTGCAACAGACAGTTTTCAGAACACAGCAGAAGCGACAAGCCGCCCTTGGCTCGTCTCTTTGTAAATGTAACCAGACCAGGTTTACCTCGATTGTTATGTCATGTAGGAAATGTATTGGACAGAGAAGTGTGTTCTGAATATTCTCAATAGTCATATTTGACCCCTTGCCTAGTCTAGCTGGATTTCAGTATGAGTATGTTTTCTCAATGTAGAAAGTAGATAGTACATACTGTAGTGATGTCAATAATGGTTTGATTAAAGTTTGTTAAAAAAAAAAAGCAGGTGGTTAAGTGGTTAAGAGCGTTGTGCCAGTAACCGAAAGGTCGCTGGTTCTAATCCCCGAGCCGAATAGGTGAAAAATCTGCCGATGTGCCCTTGAGCAAGGCACTTAGCCCTAATTGCTCCTGTATGTCGCTCTGGATAAGAGCTTCTTCTAAATGACTAATAATAATAATATTAATTATAAATATAAACAGGTACAAGTCAAACATTAGTGGTTTAAAACCCCAAATTGGCAAAAAACTAAATTTGAAGCCTATGGTTGCTTTTGGCATGAGCTGCTGTCTCTTTCACCTTGGCTACCACTCATACATGCACATTGAAACGCACACACACACTTCCCAAAGGCACTTGTCTGAGCTTCTCGTGTAAGGTTCCCTTTTCAATCAAAACTGTTAGCTGACAAGCAGAATGAATCATTCTTACCCTGGGAGAGAGCATGTGTGAATATGCTTGTTGTTGCTTGACTATTTATTCCGCACAGACGGCAAACATGGTTTCATTGATTTCATTGAATCCAAAGTGCAAAAAAACATATTTACCTTACAAATATGCGCATTGAGTGTGGGAAATGCACTCTACAAATTACATATATTTTTTATGATTATTAAATGTGCTGTGCACATTGTCCAGTT